GGAATGAATATACATCAGCTGAAGCCTGGGTATGTTTCCTAAAGGTGTTCTTAGAATGTTCACAGCTACTGTGTATTAGAATCAATCAACTTCTCATATTTTGGAAATAACTTGGAGGGCATATCATAACATCAAGGCGACTCTGTAAGAATCTGGTTACAGGGGCTGGAGCCGTGGCTCACTTGGTTAATCCTCCGCCTGCAGCACCGCCATCCCATATGGGCACCGGATTCTAGTACTGGTTGCTCCTCTTCCAGTCCAGCTCTCTGCTGTGGCCTGGGAGTGCAGTGGAGGATGACCCAAGTGCTTGGGCCCTTACACTCGTATTGAAGACCAGGAAGAAGCACCTGGCTCCTAGCTTTGGGTCGGCACAGCGCCAGCCGTAGCAGCCATTTGGGGGGTGAATCAATGGAAGGGAAGGAAGACCTTTCTCTCTGTCTCTCTCACTGTCTATAACTCTGTCAAATAAATTAAAAAAAAAAAAAAAAGAATCTGGTTACAAAGGCAGCTTCTCATAAACATGTTTAATCATTCAAGTGAAACATAAAGAGGCTAATTAAAAAAAAGAGAAGCACAAAAACACAAACAGTCAATAATTTAGTTGCTCTTTAAGAGACAGGCTATAAAGCCAAAGAAAATGTTAAATGTTTTCCCTAGGAAACTAGTTCAATATACAATGAAGAAAGGGAAGCAGTGGAAATCCAAACCAGCTTCTTTAACTTAGCAGCCTAATAATATCAGTAATATTTGTTTAAAGTCTCCTGACATAGAAGGTCACATTATATGAAACACTCAGAATCTCAAATCATTCCAAATACAAAAATCACCGAGGCCTCGCAGAGGGAAAAAAATGGATATAGGAAAAAAAAAAGTTATTATGACTTTCCAATAATAGTCCAGTGACAACTCCTTCAAAAGTATGGATCTTTACTCAGATCTCAAGCTGGATACTTTATACCATCTTCCCAAACCTCCTCTGGAAAACTTTTCAACACGTAGTCTAACTCATATTTATTTAGTCAGCTTCATGGCCTTAAAAATATAAATTCTAGAAATCTCTTGGACTTATAACACAAAAGGACACAGAAATTCCATGTATAACATCTGACAGATGAGCAGAATTACCCCTTTATGCTAACAATCTGCATTATTAATAGAAAGGCTACTTATTCTGCATGACCTAATACCAATGTTAACAAGTACTAGCCCAAACTGTGAGTGCATACTTAATGACAACTTTTAAGGTTCTGAGAAGTAAATGTGAAAGGAAGTGAAAACTATAAAGGAGAGGAAACTAAATGCAAAATTAAGGAATAAAAACACCAGTATATGTAAGAAATAGTAGAAAAACAGGAAAACAAAATTAAATAATATTGGGTGCCATAATCTTTTTTTTTTTTTTTGACAGGCAGAGTGGACAGTGAGAGAGAGAGAGAGACAGAGAGAAAGGTCTTCCTTTGCTGTTGGTTCACCCTCCAATGGCCGCCGCGGCCGGCGCACCGCGCTGATCCAATGGCAGGAGCCAGGAGCCAGGTGCTTTTCCTGGTCTCCCATGGGGTGCAGGACCCAAGCACCTGGGCCATCCTCCACTGCACTCCCTGGCCACAGCAGAGAGCTGGCCTGGAAGAGGGGCAACCGGGACAGAATCCGGCGCCCCGACCGGGACTAGAACCCGGTGTGCCGGCGCCGCTAGGCGGAGGATTAGCCTAGTGAGCCGCGGCGCCGGCCCTGGGTGCCATAATCTTGCACCTAAGACATACAAACTCATTCTTAACCTGTTCACAGAAAACAATTTTTAGCATGCATTTCTTTTCACTAAAACGAGGCTTGGATTTTATTTAAACGATTTGCTATCAGGGCTCTGTGACAGGGCCCTGTTGTTAATTTAGGGTGTACCCAGTGCTGCTTGCCTCACCCAGACTTTCCTTGCTGCTGTTGGATACATACATTGTCAAGTGAGTAACAACGCTTTGAGGGAGGTATTAACACCATCCTGGTATTTCGAGGAAGCTGAGCTTGAGCAAGATTAAGTAACTTGCCTAGGGGTTACAAACCACTGGCCAGAAACCTGCTTCTGACCACAAAGCCCTGGCTCCTATTCGACCCCTGCTGGATACAGCACCGTCTCGGTGTCTTGCACTTCTGTGTCTTTACTGGACCCACTGCTCCCTTCTTAGGAGAAGGCTCAGCTTCAACTTCCAGGCACCCACAACCTCCCACTAGGAGCTACTCCCATCGAGAACCCATATACACCTCCCCCTCCTTTATGCTGTGTCCTCTCCAGACTTCACTGTAACAGTTCTTTATTTGTCTGCATTCTCTCACCACCAACCTGCCCCTGCCTTCTCTCCCTCTTACCCCTCCCCTTCAACTCTGAACTTCCTGAGGGCAAGAATCCGGTATCTGCAATGTCTCTAGCCCGTGAGGAAAGCTGAATAAACATGAAAGAGTGAAAGAGTGAGCAATCCTTACAAATCCCTGAGATAAAATAGAACCCTTGAGCTCTGTTCCCTCACCCCAGGCAAACAGAGACTACATAGCTGTCCTTGGCATGGGGGTGGCAAGAGCATGCCTGAAATGCCCTGCCACACCCCAAAAGGGCATCACTGACTTCTAAGGCAGCTAACAGAAGGAGAGTGGAGCTTAAAAACTTGAAGGACTAAGAATAAAATCTGTCTCTTAAAAATAGCCCACGTGGATGGGACAGCGGCTCTGAGACTTAAACAATGTTTGACTGATTCACTCAAACCATGGTTTGTGTTTGTGTGTGATTTTGCATATTTTGAGTAATTCTATTTTTATACGCCTTGGTTTAAGAATTCAGCATAAACCCACCATACTGACTTCCCCATACCTAGAGACAGAAATTATAAGAAAAAGAGGGCAGATTGGTGCCTCCTCACACAGGGCACCCAAATGTAAGAAAAACAGAGAAGAGACAGAATACAAACTCACAGCCAGGCCGAATTTATTCAGAGAAAACAAATCTGCAGAGGTGGGCAACCAACTGCCAGTGCACACACAGACTGAACACGTGGCAGAGGGCCCAGACCCTAGGGGCTGGGCCTTTTTATGTCTTAGGTGGGCTATGTCTCTGTTCCATCAGAAACTGCTTGTCTTATACAAAATGGGAAAATAAAATAGTCTACATATTAGGTGAAAAGGCATTTAATAAGTATATTAATTATACTGCAATCTATAAACACTCTTGCTAAAACCACATGTAGCCTAGTTTAGACTAATGAATACTGAGAAGAATTTACTAAGTGGTTTTCATTTTACTAGTATGAATTTCAAGTTCAAACTACATCTAAATAAAAACCATTGTTTTGGTTTTTGCAATACAGAGTAAGAGGTTGAACTGTTTGCCTAGTTCCAGTGAGTACTACATAAATAGCACTAAATTCAATATTGTGGTTCTAAGAATTTATAACCAAATGCTTAGCTAGGCTCATTTTAAGATACATATTTAGGATGATTTTTTTACACACAACCGACCATTCTGCTCCTTTTATTAATTCGAATTTCCAAACTGTGTCTAGCCCCACCTCCAAATGAGATATAAATAAAATTTATAAATAGGGCATTAAAAAGGTGGGACACTGGAATTTCACAACTAGAGCACATTTTAAATCATTTACTTGCAAACTTAATATTTTTTCCAAATCTTTGCAAGCAGATCTGTAAAAAAGCAAAAGTCATTTTGCCAAAGTTAAGACTCGATTTGTCGACTGGTCCCCCTCATCCCAGCCTTCCCCCGCTCTCTTACACTGCCAAATATATCCTCCTGACTAATCTCTGCCAGTACACGTCCATCACTTCCTCAGAGACCCAGCGCAAAACTCAGACACTTGAAAGGGTCCTCCCTGACCAATCGCACTTCCATTAATGATCTGCTGACTTCGCATTCCTGTGGCATTCCTATATAGTTTGCACCACAAAATTAAAAAGTTGATTTTTTTTCTCCCCCAAAGTTCAGCATTTTTCTATTATTTCCCCAACCAGAGACCAAACAGGGACAGGAACGTCATTTTTCCTCTCTTCCACGCAGTCAACAACACACGCTTCTCAAGGACTGAATCAACAGTTCAATTTTTGAGGGAAGCAACTGACTTCTCATTTACAATTTCGTGTAAAAATACCAAGTCCAACATCCATGAAGCCGGAGAGAATTCATTCTGCCCTAGCTCCATAAACGCATCATCAAAAGCTCCAACCTATAGATCACACACAGACCGAAGACTGTTTAAACGCTGTTTTGTGCTTTGCCATTTCAAGTCGCTTCGACAAAGCCTAATAGTCTCGGAACAGCACGCCTGTGAGCGCTAGGAAGCTGGCAGCGCTCTCTTGCAAAAGGGGCAAAACTCTGGTTGGCAGTGAGTGTTGAAACACGTGAGCCTCCACGGTTAAACAAGGCTCATTAACCACACAAGACTTGCTGCTTCAGCTCTCCGGCTTCAATGGAGTTCTGTGATCTCCGCCGGTTATTGTTGAGAGCCAACGATGGGTTAAATTCCCATAAATTAACTAACGTTTTGGTGGCTTGCCCAAGCACAACTGCTGGCATCGATGGAGCTGGGTTTTATTTTTATTTCTTTAATAGACCCGCCCGCCCAGGGGAGCCCGGAGGTGAGAGCCGAAAGCGCCAGGCCGGCACTTCTGAGCGGGCACACACGCAGAGCTGCGGAGTCGCCGCGTCGGGTCCCGCCGCAGCTCTTAGCGCCAGCTTAGCGCCGCCGCCTTCGGCTCCATCTCCGCCGAGTAGTCCTGCCCAGGGGCTGCAAGCCACACGTCGGCGGCGGCCGGCCCAACTTTTCCTGCAAGCAGCATCAGCTTTTCGACACTCAAGAGTCCCAGGACACCGGCTCCGAGGGATAGGAGGAGGGGCTGGGTCAACCTTGCCAAGGGGGCAGAAACAAAGTGAGCGCCGGACGGCGCAGCCCGGCCGGGCCCAGGCCGCCCCCGCCCGCCCGCCCGCCCGGACAGCCGGCCCCGCTCACCCTCCAGCAGCACCTCCTTGCCCGCGCGCTTCAGCGCCTGCACGGCCTGGTCGTGGGTGGCCTGGCGCAGGTCCGTGCCGTTCACCGACAGGATGGCGTCGCCCAGCCGCAGAGCCCGGCTCTGGTCGGCCGCCAGCCCCGGGAAGATCTTGGAGATGAGGATCGGCATCCGGTTCTCGCGGCCGCCCTTGATGCTGATGCCCAGGCCGCCCGCCTCCTGCTTCACCACCCGCACCCGGCGCACGGGCGGCGACGCGCCCGCCTCGCCCGCGGGGCTCCGCGGCGGCGCCGGCGGGCTCGGGGACCCCAGGCCGCGGCTCGGGCTCCCAGGCAGCGAGTCGCCGGCGCCGCCGCCGTTCGGGAGGCCGTTGAAGGCGGCCGCTGCCGGCCCCAGAGCGGGCTCGGGGTCGGCTCCCGCGGCGTCACCGGTCAGGCTCAGGCTCTCCCCGCTCAGCTCGGCCACCACTCGGACCCAGCGCTCCCTCAGGAGCAGCTCCACCAGCCCCGCTTTAGTGGCCCGCGTCCACACCGCCATGGCCGGCCCCGCTCCCGCCGCCGCAGCTACCCTCATTCCAGTCAGGCAGCCTCAGCGCTTCCCCCTTCCCGCCCGAGGGGGCGGGCCCGGCCCCTCCCCCGCGGCGATGCATTATTCATGAGGGACACGCCCACCTCCCGGGCGGGGCGGGGCGAGGCCGGCGGAGCGGCTTCCGGGAGGTTAAGAGGCTGTCCTGCGCCTTACAGCTCCTGGGACGTGGGTAGCCCCCGGTGGGGGGTAGGGGAGGCTCCATCTCACACTCTCCTCCCATTGCGTTCCCTACAGGCCCCCAAACTGCTGACCTCTCCCGCGCAATGCACGGGAGCTGCGTAGGCACAGAAAGTAAAAGCAGCTTGGAGAAGCACCTTGCAAGCCTGCCAGACTAAGTGGCACGTTCATTCTTGCTCTGGTTTACTCTGTTCGTGTGAGCTGTGCACTCGGGCCCCTTCTGTGGCGCTGGCCATAAGCTGAATCAAATATACCACACCTGAAGCTTGCGGTCTGGTGGGGAAGGAAAATGCAGAGCCAACCCAACGAGCTGTGATACTATGTGGTTAAGTGATGTATAGAAAACTCCCCCGGAGCAGACTAAAAAGGGCCTCCGTTTGGTCCCGGGGTCCGCATCACAGAGGCTGACAATGGAGGGTGATAGCTGGAGCAGATGGAACAGCATATGCATGGTCTAGAGGCATGATTCCAAGACGGTGTCACCCTGCTTCGTAATCACCCGTTTTCTTGCCTGTAATTAGAGGGGGACGCTGTCTTCTTAAGTCCTGGGGCCATACCAGGCGGGCTTCAAAGATGTTTGCACAATGTATCAGCCAGGCTTCTCCAGAGCAACACTTCAGTAGGATATACAGACACACTAGAGATTCATCCTGAGGAACTGTCCCTAGACGGCGACCCCGAGTACCAGGATCTGCCACTGCAAACTAGAGCCCCAGGGAAGTTGATGGTGCGGTTCCAATCCCACCACTGAGCACCTGGAAACCAATGCTGTAAGGCTGAGACGGCAGGCCCCCAGAACGGGGTGGGGCCTGGAGGTGTGGTTTCAGTGTTGGTCTAAGAAATAGGGGCAGGAAACCGTGAGGAACTAAGCAAGCCCCAGCTCCGGCAGTGTGCATGCACCCTCCCTCTGTTCTGTTCAGGCCCTCACCTGATTGGAGGATACCTGCCCACATTGCTAAGGGGAATCTTTATTCAGTTCAGCACTCACACACTAATCTGTTCCAGAAACACCCACACAGACACACCCAGAAATAATGTTCCGCCAGCCATCCAGGCATCCCTTAGCTCAGTCAAGTTGACACATAAACGTAATCATCGCACATGGGTACTCAGGAAGATGACAGAATTCCAATGTGAAGAGAGCACAGGCTCAGTGGGTGTGTCTGGATTTGAATGTGAAAAGCCTCATATCAAATATCCAGGAATTTGGACCTGACTTTGTAGAGGGGACTGTCCTATCCTAGAGGCCATGGTCTCGTGTTGGGGCAAGTACAGATGGGCAGCCTCAGGAACTGTAATGCAAACTTTGGACTCTGAGGGCCCAGAAACACACTGCTGAAATCGGAAACTCTCGGGAAATTTATGAGGTCAAGATGTTCTTTAACTTTCCTTCAGCAGCAAAAGCAAAATCCCTACTCTCATTTAGGCAGCAACAGGCTGTGAGAACAGCAGTGTGCAGCCGTCCCTGTAAAGGGCATTGGTTTCTTGCTTGTTCAGGATGTACACGTTGAGGCTCGTAGGCCATAGCCATGCATCATTCTGCAAGTGCACGTGCATGTGCAAGCAGAAGCTTACAAAGAGCTTCCTGCACCAGGAGTTAAACAGTATAAATAGAGACTCGGAAGCATCCAGAGTCCAGATGAAGAATTAAAGATGAGAAAAGTACCTTACCAAAGAAATCATGATGACAGAATCTCCACTGCAATTAGTGGAGCAGGCTTTTCCAAGTTGCAAATGTCAGCAAAAGCTCAACCTTCCAGCCCTCTCCTAAATCAGCGGCACTGGAGTCAGCTCACTGTTCTAGAGGTCCCGGCGTGCCCAAGTGCACCTGCAGTCACAGACATTTCTGGCTGTGCGCCAGCGGAGGCATGAGCCCCAGGAGACCTGAGTTATGGGAAATTTTTGCTTATTAGAGAGCATTTGGCAGTGCATTCTTTGGAGTTTGAGCGTTATTTTTAACACCTCTGCATATGTAATCACCCAAAGGTTGCACATTTGAGGACACCTTTATTAGCAAAAGGAAGTACTGGAAATTTTTAGAGTATTAAGACCTTTTTGTTAATAGAGTTGAAGGAAGTTACAGATCTTCCAACCAATAGTAAGTGAGAGTACTTACTTAAGAAAGCAAGTTATGTAACAAAATATTTAATCCTAGGAGAAGGTAATGGAGATCGGTATTTGGATTATTTCCATTAAAAAAAAAATCCCCAACTAGGGCCTGGTGTTGTAGTATGGCAGGTAAAGTCACCACCAATAATGCTGGTATCTCATATTAGTGTTGGTTTGAAACTCAGCTTCTCTACTTCTTAGCCAGCTAGCTCCCTGCTAATGCATCTAGGAAAGTAGCGGAAGACGGCCCAAGTGTTTGGGCCCTTGTTCCCATGCGGAAGACCTGGAAGAAGTTCCTGGCTTCTGGCTCCAATTTGGCCCAGTCCTGGCAATTGCAGCCATTTGGAGAATGAACCAGGGGTTGAAAGATTCTCTCTCTCTCTCCTTTTCTTCCTTTCTTCTCTTTCCTCTCTCTGTATCTCTGCCTTTCAAATAAATAAATAAATAGTTTTTAAAAAATCCAAATTATCAAGCTACATTTATAAGGCCCTTCCTCAGGACCGAAATGAACTTTTCAACATTCTCATCAATACTTCAGGATTAATCAAATTCACCCAGTGTCTCCCAGTGGCCTGGTCCTTCCTTTCCCATTGTTTCTTTTTAATATGAAGAGCCTGTTAAGTATAATACTTTTTTTTTTTTTTTTTTGACAGGCAGAGTGGACAGAGAGAGAGACAGAGAGAAAGGTCTTCCTTTGCCGTTGGTTCACCCTCTAATGGCTGCCGTGGCTGGCGCATCGCACTGATCCTAAGCCAGGAGCCAGGTGTTTCTCCTGGTCTCCCATGCCAGTGCAAGGCCCAAGGACCTGGGCCACCCTCCAATGCACTCCCTGGCCACAGCAGAGAGCTGGCCTGGAAGAGGGGCAACCGGGACAGAATCTGGTGTGCCAGCACCGCAGGCGGAGGGTTAGCCTATTGAGCGCAGCGCCGGCCAAGGTTCTTCCTTTCAAATACCTCCTGCCCCTTAGACTCCCTTCCCACCAATCCTGACCACCCAATTGGCTAGTATTTTTTCTTTGACTAATTTAATTATATGCCTGGTTGGTTTGCCCAAAGAGATTATAAATTATAGCAGGGCAGGGACCACCCATCAACTTATTTTTATTCCCCACTATTCTAAAAATATTGCCTTGCAGAGAAAGAATTCATTAGACAAGTGATGGATTGAAATTCAGTGCTTCTTGCATTGTAGTCTTTTCAAGTAATCCCTCTGAAAGTTATTGGTTTCTCGCAGAGTGAAAATTGCCATCCAGGAAATCTCAAGGAGTTCGTGGAAATCTACTTACTGTGGATAATGAAATCTGAAACAAAAAGAGTATACATCTGTTTCCATGGTTTCTTAAGGACAGTGAGACAAGCCCAGATAATTCGTTAAACAGGCATGTTACTTTATCTACCTCTAAAAAAAGGAAGTGGTTGAGATAATTCCAAATAACTTCATTCCTGTCACCTATCAGTATCTATTCTCCTCTGATCAAGCTGTTATCTATTTCTCAGAACAGGCAGGGATCATTGCTACTTTAAACAGGGAGATGGATTTGCTCTCTCCATTCTCTGATTTCATCCTACAATCCTGTAACTCAGGCTCTGATCTACGCTGTCTCACATCCAATAGTCTTCCCTCACCTCCTGTTCCCTCACAGTGAAATACAGTATAGCATAATTAAGAGCCTGAGGTTCAAATTCTAGTTCAGCCACTTATTAGATACTCAGCAGATAATGGTCAAGGTGCAGTGGTCATGGGCCAAAGTTTTCCAAAAAAATTCAGATACCTTCTGCTTCCAAGGGTGGCTGTGCGGGAATGAGTAGGATGATACACACAAAGCCCTGAGGGGCATGGGTACCCGTCCTGGGTGAGTCCTATAAAGAGTACAGGCTGCTGTTATTACCACCTGCTGAGCTTCAGCACAGCAACAATAAAACCCTTGGGAGAGCCACTCCAGCAAGAGTCTATATTTTTATCTAGGAATAGGTATACCATGATGCCACTTGGTTCCAGGCTTAAAGGGCAAATGGCCAGATTCATGCTGGTGACAAACAGATCTCGTATAAAGCTACAGTTCAGGGAGTACAGGTTGCCAAGAGTCCGTCAAATGAAAGAATTAGTGGATCTGGGGCTGGTTCCAAGGCTTGAGTGTTGTGTAATTTCATAAGGAAGGAGGGCCCCAGGCAAAATTGCAGCCCTTAGCAAGCCTGGAGGTCACTGCCACAAAGATGGCGTGATGCCAGGAGAACAAAAGCAGGAGCCACTGGACTATTACTAAAAGAAGAGGCCAAGAAGAGAAATGAGCTTTGTAAACAAACCTATCCAACATCCCAACTTTTGAAAATTATCTTAAGTCTTCCCAAATTATTAGACGGTGAAATCAGTTGTCCCTTTTAAGAGAGAGTACTATGCTGCTTGGGAGACGTAGTCTAAAGTGCATTTTCTCTCCAACATAAATAGGTACTGAGAGAGGGAAAGGTGCATATATGTTTTAGCTGATGCGAGCACATTTTTAAACTCATCCTGCCAAGACAAATCACAGTGCATCTGAAATCCGCAAAATGGATTAACTATCTCATGCATTATGACTATGAAAACCCACATCTGCTAACCACATTCCTAATGGGAAGCAGCTGGTGACAGTTTTGTAGTGCTGTGACTTTTCTCTTTAGGAAAATATTAGCAAGGACATACTTGACAGCTTAGTTTCATTGATTCCACTTAGTTACAGAAAATCACCAATGTTTTTTATTGACAATCATGGAAATTACATAATTTGCCATGAAATTCTAATGTCTAAAAATAAAAGTCTATTCTCTCCCATCCTCAAACAGAATTTCCAGTGTTCATAGCTTCAGTCTTATAGTCAGCCTCAATTCTCAATTTTTCATACAGTATTTATTGAATACCAAATCATGTTTATTGACACCCATGGTATTTTCTAGGCCGTAATGGCACAGATTTAACTCCCTGAGTTTGTCTAACACCTTTCTGGGAGATTGTGGACGCTTTCGAGAATTGGCTGCATGGGGGACCTACCCCACACACACTTAGATGTTTCAGTCTTGAAACAGAGACTCACAAAGTCCCTGAGCCCTTCCTGCAGCTTTGCTATGGGCTGAACTGTATCCACCTGCATCCAGAATTCATAGGTTGAAGTCCTAATCCACAGAATCTGAGATTGTCACTACATTTGGAAATTTGTCACTACATTTGTCTTTTTTTTCTTTTTAATATTTAATTTTTATTTGAAAGGCAGAGTTAGACTAGAGGGAGAGAGAGATATATCTTCCATCTGCTAGTTCACTCCCCATATAGCCGCAATGGCTGGAATTGGGCCAAAGTCAGGTGCTAGGAGCTTCTTCCGGGTCTCCCACATGGGTGCAGGGTCCCAAGTACTTGGACCATTTTCTTCTGCCTTCCCAGGTGTATTAGCAGGGAGCTGGATCAGAAGCAGAGCAGGGGCCGGTGCTATGGCGTAGCAGGTAAAACCACCACTTGCAGTGTCAGCATCCCATATGGGCACCAGTTGGAGTCCCAGCTGCTCCACTTCTGATCCAGCTCTTTGTTATGGCCTGGGAAAGCAGTGGGAGATGG